CCTTTCTCAACACTGTCTTCAGAATTTCCATAACCAGACTCCTCTATGTTTTTTTCTAAATGACCTCCTTACTTAATAATTTCTGGCCTCTCTGAAGTTCTTCCAAAGTCAAATGAGACATGCTTCCAATTTGAGCGAATGTCGAGAAATCAGCTAGTTAGTTGAAGACTCTGTCAAAAATAGTATGAGTTCCCATCTTGAATATGAAATGCACGATAGTATGAATGAAAGTATGAATGCATGTTATTATGTTTTTTCATTTCAATCATAAAGGAAACAATAATGTAGGAACCATGAGTGATGTATAAGTCCAGAAGCCCTATTTAAAAGAAATGATTGCAAGTCTTTACATGAGTTAGCCTAAGTCATACTATAATATGGTGTGAGAAATGACTTGTTTTGCGTTTTATCACAAATGTTGCGGTTAGCAAGAGTCGCCACCGACTTTTCTTTTATCCAATAAGTAAAATGTGAAAAGAACAGGAAAGACCTTTAAAGATTTTGAGTTCGGGGGGTAGGTTATGAAAAGGGAAGGTGTTAGCACCCTTTTCATCCATAGTTATCTACGGGATCTTAATTGCTAGCTCACTTTGTTTTGGAAAATTGCTTTGTGCTGTGTACGTTTGAAAATATTTTGAAAATTCCAATAGTAAGGCAACTTTGTAATGATTCTCGTATCTTTCCTCGAGAATGTGTACAAAGTGTTTGTTTGAAGTGTTTGTGAAAAGATGTTTTTGTTTTGAAATGTTTGTGAGCAAGCGATTACGAACATTCTACCTACTCAAAGTCTTTCTTGTAATTTTTCTCCTCCTTTAGATATTTCTATACTACCATTAGTTTAGTAGGAAGCCCTATCGTTGGATGTGAAGGGACATATGTGGTTCATCGTACACTCATTGAAGGCAACTCATAGGGGCGCTTTAGCATTTTATCATTAAGGGACTAGATCATTTACCTAAGGCAACACCGAAAGGATCATCGAGGGACTACATTCTTTGTTTTTGAGGGGCAGTGTTAAAGTGTCCCCATGTTCGAGGGACATGACTGTGTTTTCGAGGCAACAAGGGATGTTACCGTAGAGGTGCGCATGTGCGAAGTGTGTTGTGATTGAGTTATTATTTATCTCGCATTAGGGTTTGCTACCATTTTATTTTATCTTGCCATACATGACCTAATTACTAACAGTAACAGTAAAAATAGGAAAGCGGTAAATAAGTGAAAAGTAAAAGCAGAAAATAAAACCCTAGACTATTACATGGCTTTGGGAGAAGTACATAATAGAAAAAGGTGAAAAATAAACCTTAATTATTATTACAAACCATGAGCAGTTACAATAATAATTAAAAGAAAAGGAAATGCGAGAATACTGAACCCCGCGAAATGTAAAAATAGGATTTTAAAACCTTAAAACCTAAATTGAAACCTTAAAAAAACTAAATTGATTTTAATTGAAAAATATGATTAATTAGTAAAAATCCTAAACAAAACCTAAATTGATTTTAAATAAAAAAACCTAAAACTAATTAGGGTTTATGATAAAAAAGGTTTTGAAAATTTTAGGTTTTGTAAAAAAGGTTTATGTTTTGGGAATTTGAAGGAAAATAAGGAAAAGAGTAAAGAGAATAGAGAATTATGAAAAAAAAAGAACCAAAATTGGTAGGGGTGGGTGTTGAACCCATGCCCTCAGCAATTTCAACCAACACATTTACCACCAGGCCAGCCGCGCGCCTGTGACAAGGAGAGGGAACCGGTGCACTTTACAATCTGCAAAACAAAGAAAATCATAAAAAATGTCAAAATGCCAAAAGGCCGGGATCGAACCCACGCCTTTTCATAGTAGCATCTTATCGTGCGCGCTTCAACTGCTGGGGAAATAATACATCCGTTGATTTATATGAAATGAATGAAACAAATATCAAACAAAAACTCCTAAACCGGAGAGACGTTGGAGCCCTAGTGAAACAATAGGCTGAAAATCATCAAACAATAAAGTCACCATCGAATGTCTTTTACCCCACATGAAGGGATATGTAAACATCGAGAAAACCTGAGAAGGGAGAAGTCACGGTCTTGTGATCGAGAGATCGTCTAAGGGAGTTTGTTACGCGAGGGGAAGGTATTAGCACCCCATATGTTTGTAGTACTCTACGGTATCCACTCTTGTTGTTCTAATCAAAGGGTGTGTTTAATCTATGCTTATTGTTTACTACTGAGGAAGAATGCATGCAAAAGAAAGGAGAAAATAATGTAGGGAAAATAAAGTTTTGCTCGCTTGGGCCCTACCTTAATGCCTACATATTCTTTTTGAGGAATCGAAGTTACCGTAGTTCGGCTCACATGTTTTTGCTTGTTTTGTATTTTCTATGAACGATGTTAATTCTGCCTTCTGCCGTAGCTCGAACTTTGGAGACTCACGCATTGGCACATAAGTAAACTAACATGTCCTTACCTGAAAATGATTTTGAGTTACGCCCTCAAGGCAAGATGCTACATTTGATCGATTTGTGTTTTGTTACCTTGAAAAGGGTTTAAAAGTGTGATTAGAGAGTGTTTTTATGATTTACTAAAAAAATAAAATTTTAGTTTTAAATGCATATGAAAAATGGGAAGAAAAGAGTCTAAGGGAGACTAGTCTATTTCTAAACCTAATGTTATCATGCAATGGTTGCCCTACGTCAAAGATGAAAGGGAAATCTCTACCTAATTTCAGTATGCATGGTTTGCAAACTAAGGTCTAACTTGCATCATAAAGGAACAAGTACATCCTAAGGGAACATGGTATGTACAAGGATAAAATAAGAAAATCTCAAAAGAGCACGCACATGTCACGAGTAGCACACACTAACTCGGGTAAAGACCTAACCAAGATATAAACAATCGAGGTAGGCGATAGAAAACAACATGAACAATCACGGAGTGTCAGCATCGTCCAATGCGAAGTCCTAAAAAAGTGTGGGGGTTTGATTGCAAAACTCTTCCCCACTTGACGGACTCGAATACACATGATCTTGGGAACGTGTTCAGAGCTTGGAACTTGCAAAAAGTGAGTATAAGAACGACACAAACAATAACTGATGGGGGTTGATTGCTAACCCTTTCCAGTTTCCTCTTTTTAAGGACTTAGGAATGGTTTCCATAAAAGGACCTAAAACCATCATCCCGCTATACAAGCACAAATGTAAACACACGCACGGAATACCTACTTCAAAGGTAGGGTTTTAAACAACCACAAATAGTAAACAGAATGCATATAATGTGGAATTACCCTAAATGGGTCTTTAAATAAACCAAAGGGGTTTCTGACATGATCAGAAACAGAGATCCCCGTCATACATCTCTACCCTACCTCTCATGGCATCATAAAGCAGTAAATCCCTACTTCTCATGATCTCTAGAAAAGCGATAAAATTCAGAAATAAGGAATAAAAGTGAAGCCACAGTGATACCTAACGGAGAAGGTCTGTTGCCTCTTCAAAAACATGAAAGCGATAAGAAAACTCTATAGAAAAGGCTTCACACGAGTGATCAAAGATTTAATCTCCAAACATTCCACATTGCGAAAGTTACATCGACATTCTATCACAAAAATCTAGCTAAAGATGGCAACAAAAATGATTACTAAACATAAACAATGATAGAAAATTATAATCAAAATTCTAAAAAGAAATCCTAAAAAATTCTAACATTTTTTATATCATTTTTATCATATGGAAAATTAATCAAAATCATGGAGAAGTCTCACAAATAATTGACTAAAATAAAATTGAAACAAAAATCAAAATATAAATTGAGGAAAATTCCAAGAGTGCAAGTTCAACCATGGTTGTGTTGTAAGTGGTATGGGCGCTAGGCCCACTCTGTTTGAGCTCACAAAGCATTTTTGTATCACAAATCCCGGGTAGCACAAAAAATAGCATCTGGCCAATGGGATGCAGTTCAACCCAACAAGAATTCTCAGCCCATCATCACAAACTATTTCCAGATCTACTCATCTTTTTCCTTCTTCAATTTAATATAAAAACAAAGTATTAAGAATAAACAAAATTAATACGGTGCCGTTTGGACTGAGTTAGGGTTGACGGAGAAGATGTCTCTTCAGCTTCCACGATCTTCTTCTTCACAGAGCCAAGACGTACCACTCGCAAATCGTATTATCTCTGCCGTCGACTTCAATCTCTGTTCATATGCAATGCTCTGACTTGCTTCACTACCAACATCCCCTCATGATTCACCCTAGATTCAACTCTCTTTGTCCTTCTCGAGTGCGAATTCCGGCGAGTTGATAACACCAGCATCGCCTCTTTAACTTGTCACCTTCTTCACATAGACCTAGCCTGAAATCCCTTTCTGAACCCGAACCCCTTACCAATTTCACACAAAACTTCTTCAACCATGCAGATTAAAGAATCAAAACAAGAAAAACCTAGTTTTCATGGAATTCCTATTCAAGCGACAACTTCCAGAATTTCTGGTATTCTACGCGCCACAAGTAAAATTTATCGAAAGGGAGCAAGCACAAGAAGTATTAATGGGATCCCTTTTGAATCTTTTCCGATTCTGATATTGTGACGATGAATCCAGGCGCATGCTCAGAGGTAACTTCGTCGATCCTCTGATTTCTTTATATTCTTCTGACTTTCTTCTAAATTTTTCTTGAATTTGATTGGTATTCTGTTGATGTATGTACGAGCTTTGTTGATTAAGATGACGAATGATAAGGGTAATTGTAGGTTGCTCTGAATTGATGAAGATTGTTGATGGTGGTTGAAGCTGTGTAGAGAGAGAAGCAAGAAGGATTGAAGATTGGAGTTTGTGATAAAGATCAAATGATAGAAGTTGAAGTAACTCCTCAAGAATCATATTCTGGTGAGTTTTCTCTTATTTTCTTCTTTGTGATTTTTCCTCTGTGGTTGTGTGGTACATTGTGAATGATTTGTGATGTGATTTGTTGTTGTAGCAGAGAGTTAGAGAGAGAAAGAAGATGAAGAAAGGTTGCAAGGATGAAGGTAATTATGGAGAGAATGAAGAGTGAGTTCTGCGTTTTGTATTGCAGAGATAGAGTGAAGATGGTGATGATGATGATTGCTGAGGTGCGATTTGATATTGATAACAGATGGAGATTATGTTGTTTCAGAGAGGTGAGGAAGATTCTAGAAGAAGAATTGTTGATGTTGATTGCTGAAACTATTCTCAGAGAGAGCAGAGGGAAGCTTCAGTTGCAGAAGTAGAGAAAACATGAAGCTCTTTTTTGTGAGTCTCTTATGAGAAATCGTATATCTCTCGTCTGAGTTTCTTTTTTTGTGTGAATGAGTAATGAATCATGAATCATTTCCCTCTCCCCTTTCTGTTATCTTCTGTTATAAGTTTGTTAGGAAGCCGTTAGGAAATTGAAACTGTCACTTTCTGTTAGCAGATTTGTCAGTTGAGATCCTGTTAATCTCTTCTATTATAAGTTTGTTAGAAAACCCTTAGGGAATTGGAGCTGTTAGTTATTGTTTGTTGAATTCAGTTGGAAGTTAGAAACAATCAGTTATTCATTTTCTGTTTCCTGAGTTAACAGTTTTCCCTTTCTGATTTAATCCCTTTTTCTGGTATACTGTTAGTTCTGTTTAGTGATTTTTCCACCGGTTTTCTATTTGTAAACTGAACCTATACTTGTACCTGGATGTGTATGGTTTTGATCTGCAGGGTTGGCTTGGTGATATTGGTCAGTAGCTTGGATTTGGACACATGAAAGCTTGAGGACATATTTATGTTGGTTTCATGATATGCAAGTGAATTATTGGTGATGATGGTTTGAAAGAGCATAGGTTTGTATCAATTCAACGAAAATCGAGAAGATGGCACGTTCGGGCATGGAGTTTAGGATTAGAAATTGATTCGTGGACTTTGACTCCTTTGTGTATTATTTGTATGATGTAATGTTTTGGAAATTTGTAACATGACATTTATGATGATGTTTTGTAGTAACGGGAACATGCCTCTATGGACTTGTATGAAACATAGTAATGATGGTTTTGTAACGGTTTATGATGAATCTTGATGCAATATACTTGTAACTTCAATGTAAAGAATGACTTTGGAATAATATTGCATTTGAATCTTGTAATAGGTTTGTGCTTTTCCCTTGTAATGAACATGTATCTTTGAATGTTTTCGAATGAGGTATTTGTTCTTTCTATAAAACTTTGTTTTAAATGGCTTGATGATGTGAAGTTAACAAAAACATCATGTGATGAAACTTGAAGTCTTCCTCGTAAAGAACCTTGAACCTTATGGATAAAGCCAAACATCCCGAGAAAATTTATCTTGACTTTTATGTCATGTAGTTCAAATAAAAATTTAAGCTTCTCTTGATGGAAGAAGGTCAATTGAAAATCCTAACTTGTAATGGTCAAAATCTTATCAAAATATATCCTCCTTGTATGGCATGGTGATGCACCCTTGAATCAAAACCTTAGTGTGTCATGAATACCTCAAGATCTCTTCAAAAACCTGCATTTCACTCAATTCAAACCCTCTTGAATACCGTAAAAATAAGGAAATAAACCTTAACTCCTAGGCGTAATAAGAAGATGAACTTGCTCAAAACCCTTGATGCTGAAGAGAAGAACTTATAATGACGGAGAAACAGAACCTGATGTAAGCAAACTTAGTTGAAACCCTAATTTTTAAGTCTTGAAGAAATAAGCCTTGCAACTTGATGTTGGGAAGAAGATAATATCCCTATAGCTTGATGATAAAGAAGTCCATGAAATAACCCTAACTTCAAACAAATGATTGATGGAGAAATCAATTAAAACAAGCTTGTGTGAAGATGAGAGCCTTAAAGCTATACAACAACCCTAATTCCACAATATCATCGATCCCATGCCAAATTATTAACCAATGATGCATGATGTGATCGGTGGAAATAGAACTGACTGTTTAAAGCTGGATCGTGTATGTCGCGGTAAGCAAGAGTCGCCACCGTCTTTTATTTTCTCCAACATGGAAAGGACAAAAGCACAGCAAAATTCCTTATTGATAATGTCTCTCGGTTCGTGAGGTAGATTTATAGAAAGGGAAGGTGTTAGCACCCTTTCTATCCATGGTTATCCATGGGCTCTTAGGTACTTGCTCTTATGTTTTCAAAATATTTGCTTTTCAAAATGTGAGTGGGTTTGAAAAAGTTTCATTGAAAGATTTCTGAGTGACTCTTGTATCTGTCCTCAAGAGTGTTTGAAAAATTTGTTTTGAAAGCTTTTGAAAGTGTCAGTGTGAAAAGATTTTTTTGTTTGTTTTTGAAGAGAGCAAGTATCCATGAGTCATCTACCTACCCTAAGGAATTAGGCTGTGTAAGAGTCCTTAAGGTAGTGCCATCCCACCATTGAGAGGTAGGTAGCACCACCGTTGGAGGTGTTCGGGTCAATTCGATTGGGGGACAGGGTGGTCACCGAAGCAATAGTAGGACACCTTAGAAGTAACCCTAATGTCCTAGATCCTTTTTAATCCGAGGCAACCGTTTCGAGGCGACTGGATCTTAGACATAAGGGCGACCGCTAAAACACCTTATACTTGACGACCACTTTCGAAGGCAACGAGTGAGGCGTACCCTAGAAGTGGTGTGTGCATTGTGTGTTGTTTTCATGTTAACATTTATCTTGGATCATGCAATTGTGAGCTACGAGTTGTTTTTAATTATCATACATTCTTTCATGCAATTTAGCAGTTAGGAGTGCGGAAAATTAAATACAGAAAGATAAAAGCTACGCTATTACAAGGCGCGAGTCTATACATCGCCAAAAAAACAAAGACCCGTTTTTGATAAAGATGCGGAAAGTAAGAAAAAAGCAATAAACCTAATTACTATTACATCCCGGAAGCAGTTACAAAATAATCCAATAAGAAAATAATGCGCAAAATAGAAATTAAACTGGACGTCCGAGGGTTTTGACCCTTTGCTTGAAATTAAATTAAAACCTAATTAATTATTTAATTAAAGAAAAGAAAGTGTTTTTTATGTTTTTTGTATTTATTATGGAAATAAAGAAAAAAATAATTAAAATTAAAGTTAGTGAAACCCTAGTTCTAAGTTTATCTTACTTATTGATGAAAAAGGTCAAAATTGGGCTAATTAACTAAATTATTTAATTTACATGTTATTTACAAAAGTAATAGTAATTAATAAATAATAATAATAATTAATTAAAGAAAATATGAATGAAAATGTCAAATCCTAATTCTATATAATTTTTATTTATTAAGAAAAAATTGAAGTTAAACCTAAATTAAACTAATTCAATTATTTAGAATTTATTTACAAAAATAAGTTAATGGTGAAATTAATAAATAAAATATATTTACAATTTGATTTTCTGATTTTTATTATGGAAAAATTAATTTGTGGTGAATTAATAATAATTATTATAACAATTAAAAGAATTTAAAAAAGAGAAAATAAAAGTTAAAAAAATGCAAACCAAAGGGGGTGTGATGGCCCAAGAGGAGATTTGTTTTGAGCAATTCTGGCCCATTAAGACAAAGCCTGATTGACTTTCAGGAATCACATGCATGCTGTTTGACTGGGGAGTATCATGTTCCTCATCTCTTGGCCACTGGATGGAAGTTGAGAGACACCTGGCTAGCTGAGGCGTGAGGCTTAGGGTGGACCACTGGATGATTGCTGCACAAGATTGTATTAGAAAAAATATTATGAATTATCTGGGGGACCTGGGAATCGAACCCAGGTCCCAGTGGTGAACAAACACGTCACTAGCCACTCAACCATCGCGCTGTATTTGTAATAATAATAACCAACGAAAATAATATGTGAAAAGCAACAATTATGCTTGGACACAAAAAAACGCGCGCTGAGTTTGAATGATCCACTAGCGTTTGGACAGCTCACCCCTCTTCTTCGTTACCTGCAATAATATGAAACAGATAGCGGGGGTTTTAAACCCCCACAAAACAAAAGTCCCCATAATAGCGATTAGAGCTATGGGTCACATAAAAAGAGCGCGAGGGTCTTAATGGTTTCGTCTTGTCCTGAAGAATTTATCTATATAGGTCTTGAGGCCTAATTTTACAGCATATGAAAACCCCCAATATGGAAGCTCTGAAACCCTAGCGTTTGTCCATGGCAGATTTTGATACAGGATGTTTCAACACAATTAATCCACACCAAATGCGTTTCTTTGGGTATTAGAACTTGTTCTTGATGGCAATAGACTCCTGGAGACTTAGGCAAGGTGTTGGAATCCTTTTCAGGCTTTGAATCGTGCTGCAATAATGATTTCAGTTTCACAATTTTCTTGACTTTTTGCAATTTGGTTATTGAGTTTCAGCAGCAATTATGCGTGTTCAGCACTAGGGTTAGCTCTTTCATTTGTATTGGAACATAATTAGGTTAGAATTAAGCCCATAAATCCATTGCATTCATGTTTGAATATATGATTGGCAATCAAATCTTTTTTCAATCTTTTCTTTCATGAAACCTTGCCAATCATGGATATTTTGAGGTCCTTGAGGTGCACACGAGTTGCCAGCTTGCCCTAGCCTTATTTTCTTCACAAAAAGATTCAAAAAGCATATCTTTTGAATTTTCCTATAATTAAAACCAATTAAATAAATTAATATTAATATAAATTCAATTAATTAATTAAAAATAAGAAAATAAATAAAATTAAGTTCAATGGGTCGTGCATAGGCTTTGGGTAAATATTCAAGAAGGAATTTGAGGCCCATTAGCAAAAATGAAGTGTTTTAGGCAAAGTTGACTTTTGAAAGTTCCCAAAAATTTCCCAACTTCTCCAACGCATATCTTGCTCAATTTTGAAGCTATGAACATGTTCTTGGACATTTTGGAAGGGTCTTGAGGTCCTCTAAACAATGCCTTTGGTCCCATGTCATTTTGATTTACCAATCTCAAGTTATGGTCTTTGACTTAAAGTGCCTTTTTGTTGACTTTTGAAAATGACCTATAATGTTGAAATTGATAACTTTTTGTGAGAGCAATTCTTGGACTTGGAATGTGAAGATGAGTTGTAGGAAATTTCATCCTCTTCAAAATGAGCATTGGATGAGATTTTTCTGATGAACCATGAAAAAGTTATGCCTTGGTCAAGTTATAGTTGACTTTTCCAACTGTCCAAAAATAGAAACTTTTGCATCTTGAGACTTTTTGAGCCATGCTTGTGGAATCATGATCAAGAATTGATCAAATGATGATTTTGGCTTCAAAACA